TTGTTCGAGATCTCTAGAGAAAAGAATCAAGCGTCGGTTAAGAGGATGTTGTTTGATGGCTCCATAGGTTTCAGAAGAGGCTCTATGGTGTATTTTGTTCGAGATGAGTAAAACTTATGTTCAAAGTGAACAACATCATATCATTGTTTAGAGTATAATATCTATTAAAAACGTCAAAATATTATTCATTTTCATAATAATCATAAAAATACAGTGATAGAGCCATTAGAAATAAAAAGAAAAAAGAATTATTTAATTTGGTGGATATTTAGTACATGAAAAAACAAAAACAACCGGACAACCGGTCATGCCAGTCAACAATATTCGAAAATACACAAACAAAACTAACGGGTAGAAGTTTTGACTCCGTGAAGTCTCAATAACAATTTACAATATCCACTGGAAATTTAAACAACATAAAAAAAAAAAAAAAAATTAAAATTAAATAAAAAAGATAATTAATTTCATATTAGTACGTAAATTTAAATTACTGCATCTTAATTTCAATTCAATTTTGTGTTCAGATTCTTACAGCCAGCAATGAAGGAATCGCGTCCAAATTTGGAGTTGAATTTTTCTCCGATGATTCCCGTTTTCCTTCCGACGAGGAAGACGGCGGCTTACCGAACGCTCTCATCGGACTTGCAAATGCCCACCCTCTGTTCTTGCTCCGCCCCTGTCCGTATGGTGCCGGCGGGAACCTCCCGTCATCGCCGGAGGATGACGACACCCAGTACGACGACGAGGCCGAAGACGAAGACGACGATGATTGATTAATGAACCCACCGAATATTCCGCCGCATTTCGCTCGCTCTTTCAGGCACTCGCTGCTATTGTTCACGGCGGCGATGGCGGTGGAGGTTATTTTGGGTTTTCCCTCTCTGTGAGACTCCACTCTCCGTAGTGTACAGTCGCCGAAACCGGTGATTCTTTCGAAGAAGTCGCCGGAGAAACTCCGGCTACCGCACCCGACGGATCTGGATCTAGATACCTTCCGTTCAAACGAAGAAACCGAGGCAGAGGCAGAGGCATGACTACTGTTCGGACTATCCTCGCCGTCGTCCTCCGCCGTGCCGGATAAATCTTTATACGTTTCCGTGCATTTTTCCTTAAACCCATGATCGATTTTCCTCGAAGAATGGTATTTAGTTGAAAGATCGAACAGAGACCAAATCCATCCTCTGTTTTTCGGATTATAATCTTCGCCGTGGTAGGGATCCAGAAATTTCCCTCTCGCCGGAGTTGTAGTGGATTTACACCGGCGGAAACCTGCCTCCGGCTGCTTCTTCTTCTTAGACAGAAAGGGGATTCGAGTCCTTGCCGCCGCCGCCGCCGCGTGCTGATCATGGCAGTGACCCCCAAATTTAACCGACGAAGCGGCAGAGCCGACGGCGGCGAAATCAGATCTGAAAGAGGAGGAGGAGGAAGAAGAAGGTGGAAGAGGAAGGGGAGAAGAGGAAGAGACTAATTTTCCGAGCTTTTCTTGAAGACAAAGAGCGCAGATCCCTCCTTGGTTGCTCCGATAAGGATGGTAACGGCACCTCATGCCGTCGTCCATGTCGTCGTCATCGGCGGCGGCGGCGTTGGGTATTTCGAGCATCGGCGGGGAGTGCAGAGACAGTGGAGAAGGAGAAAGAAATGGAAGAATGAGAAGAGAAGACAAAACCTTCACTTCAAAATAAAAATGGAGAGAGACAGAGAGGAGACCCAAGGATGAAGACGACAGTCTGTGCTTTGGTTTCTTCCTCACTGACCTTTTTAATATATTTTTCCATATTAACAACAACAAAAAAAACACTTATTATTTAATTATCGACACCTTATTAACTGGATAAAACACCGATTACTTAAAGCTCGAGACCTTATTAAGTAGATAAAACACCGATTACTTGAAGCTCTGATTCGATAACATAACCTGCATAGATTATCGAGTTCAAATCATAAACGTTGAGACGTGTATAAATTTTTTTTTTTTTTAATCCTAGTTGGGTTGAACTGGGTCGGTTTGCAGGTATACATTTGTTTCGTCAAATCAATGACCGAACCCAACTCTACCTTACCCCACCTCATTTTTATGATTATTATGAAAATTAATAATATTTAATATTTGTAACCGATGTTACTTTGTAGCTTGTGATATTTTTTAATGTTATAAAATCTCGTGGATAAAGATTTATTTTAATAATTAAAAAAAAACAACCGAACAACCTAATCCAACATGAACAGAGGGTTGAGTTAAGTTACCAATCCAATCCACGGTAAAAAAAAATTTAATTTCCAATGTATTTTTTTTCTTAAAAATACTTTTTTCCAAATGTTTAATATTTTTGTCGTTTAGTTCATTAAATTAATTGTGGGTGTGAATAAGCTTGCCTCTATTAATTTATTAATATACAATGTGTGTGGTTATGGTGTTTGTAATAAATAATTATTAGTAATAAATAAAATTTTAGGAAAATAATAAATTTGGCACATCAAATTTGTTGATATATATATAGATAATATAAGCCAAATAAATCCCACGGACATATATAAACATAATATTGAAAAAAAAGAAAAATAAATTTAAAAAAAAAGACATAAGTATGTCTTGGATAACATAAATTTATATAATTGTTGGAAAATCAGACATGACATGTTTTGGATCCCTTCCCTTTATCCAATTTAATACCCAACAAATTTTAAATAATATTAAAATTCTTTAAATTTAGATTTATACGACCAAATCCGAGAAATTATTTCTAGTGTCTGCTATATTATGACCCATGACCCACCGAGAATTATACACCGATTGTTAAGAATTAGTCACATTGTGGCAATTTTATTGAATGTGTCATAGACCACGTAGTCTGATCTGATTGGTTGTTCACACAACGACTCAGATTTATGGTAATTTCATTAAATAGTTTTTTGTCGAGTCAAGGAACATATGCCACAAATTGCACAGTCGGGTCTAACTGGTAGTTCATAGGACGAGTCAAACCTAAGTTAGTCATATTGTGGTAGTTTCATTAAATACTGTTTGGTTGAGTTAAGGAACATATGTCACGAACCGCACGGTCGGATCTGATTAGTATTTCACACGACGAACTGAAACTTGAATTAGTCACGCTGTCGTAGTCTCACTGAGTAATTTTTTGGTCGAATCAAGAAACATATGTCACAGACTACACGGTTAGGTTTGATTGATAGTTCCCACGACCACTAATGGGTTTGGTTGCATTGTAAGGTGTTGTGTTGTATTAGTGTATATTGATGAGGTCTGACATGCTCTCATATATTAATGCTGCAATCTTCTTTGTCACGGACCTCATCCCCTTCCCTCTAATAGGGGCGCCTTCCATTTATGTCTCATATTTATTTCGGAATTTTGTAATTAAAAAAAAAACCATAAATTATGTATAATTACATAATTTTATTTATTATTTATTTTTTAATAAAAAATGGGAAAAAATGTATAAAATATTAATAACTTCCGAGAAAAAAAAATGTTAGAAAAATATTATTTGTTATTGTCGTAATAAATTACTTTGGTTAATTTTAATGTCGGGTATATTGTAAAATTAAAATTTTAATATTTTAATTATTGAGTTCGAATGATAGCTAATATTGACTTAACCGGTCAATTTATGTATTTAAATTTTAGTTATCCAAATATACAATTGTATTAATAATTAAAATATCGTAAAATTCAAATATCAAATATTTGGAAGTTACACTGCATCACTATCATCAATTATAAGTGTCAAATATTTTAAATTTTTCATAATAATCTTAAAATTAAGACAGAGTAAAGTTAGGTTGTAACCATATTTTTGGGTTAGTCGGGTTAACCTGATCAATGAAATCTCAATCACGAACCTAACTCGAATTTTTAGTTTTTAAAAAACTCAATCCGACCCATACCGAAAAAATATCTAACCCAACTCACTATGAACTTAAATATAAATATATTAAATAAAATCTTAGATCCAACAAGGAAATCAAATAATTATCTTAAAAAAAAACATAAAAACATACTAAATTAATGTAACAACTGTTTGACTGAATCAATGAAGGTAAGAGTGTCTATTTTGACCAATTGGACACGTGGGGTCATGTCATTGGTTTAGCGTGTATTATTTAAAGTAATATGGTGGGCCACTGAAACGACGTGGCAATGACAGAGGATCTTATCCGTGCATTTACCTCCCCGTTCCTGTCACATCAGCCGTTGGATCCTTCAACCCCGCACATGGGGGATTTTCGTCTGTGTCACGTGTTTTTTTTTTTTTTTTTTTTAAATTCTAATTATAATATATAGTTTAAGATTTTTGAACAAAAATGTAATGTGCTACAAGGTGGTAGTTCTACTCGAGCATAACCTCATCGAACTCTTTGGAGAGGGCAATGTCGAACACGCCGAATGATATGTCACGATCGCATTTTGATGTCAGCAGAATTGCGATTGTACAGCACTCACTTCTCAGTAGCAAGTGAGTTAAGCCTATTCGTTTTTGCGTCACTTACAATCAAGCGACGTATGCTCGAGCCTGTAGTCCCAGTTTCAAGAAGAAAGTTTTAGAAAACGAAAGCAGAGAGATTTCAAAAAATAGTTCTAAAAGCAATATTTGAGAAATTGAAATTGACATTATATATAACTATGAAAGTTGACTAACACTAATTTTATTTATTTTAATTATTTATTTTTCAATCCGTCTTAAAAAAATAGTTTCTATAATATATATTAAAATGAAAATAAAATAAAAGTTTAATTTATTATTTAATTAAATTATATTTTAATATATAAAATTATAATATTGGAGGGGTAGTCAAATTGAATAATAATAAGGATGATAATGTTTTTGTAAGGGTACATTGGGTACTGTTGCTGACGTAATAAACCGGAGAGGGTGGATTGGGCCCAATACCGGAGACAGCAACCGGTCAGTGTAACACATGGGCCTATGGGTATTCAACGCTGGCCCAGGCTTCCCCTCTTGCTCTGTTTCCTAATTGGGCCCAATGTACCAATAGATCATGGTTCGACGATATGAGATATATATTTTCTTTTTAGTTCGAGGTTCTTGAACTTACAATAATGTTTTCGATGTATTCATGAGGAAGGCAACGAGTTAGATAACTCGGTTATGCTTAAAGATCTTATTACTCGTGTTACAAGGTCAGCCCAAGAGGTTGCTCTCGTGGGTGAGGTGTACTTGTTGTTAAGCGACGGTGTAAAACTCTCAAGGTGAGAGGGTGTGCGATCCTCAATTAAACTCTAGCATATGCTTTGATCTTGCATATATGTTGAATTGAAACCTTCGTTTCGTGCACGTTACCTATGTGACAAAAGTGGTTAACCAGTGGTAAGTTCCTATACAACAAATAAAAAGTTGAAAGCCAATTTGAACATAGCTCACGAAACAAGGTACCAATTACCATTATAATGGCTAATGGTTTGATCAATTAAAAATTTAAATACGTGATTTTAATAATTCGATCGGGAGTGATTAGGGTTTGATTGAAGCGTAGAGGTTAGAGGGGATAAGTGGGGACAAAAATGTCATTTCATCCCTACTAAAACGAGACAAAATGGGGCTTTGCATGTGAGTTTGGAAATTTTGCCCTAAACAGTAATATCATATAATTTTGCACCCGTGACATCAGTGGGCCCCACCCTTCTCCTACCTCTACCTCTGATCCAATCTCCACCGTCCATTTTACATCCCACTCACTTTACTATTTTAACTCATATTCTTTTGGGTTATATTAATCATTTATACACTTTTAATAAAATTTAAATATAGTATTTTAAATTAATTTTTATTCAAAATTTAAATAATAACAACAATTTATATGCAATAAAAAAAAAACCCCAAAATAGATGTAAAAGGATTTTTTAAAAATAAATTTATTAATTTTACGATACTAAATTGACGTAAATCTCAAATTTACGGTCGTGTCTCAATCAAACCTTATTTCATACTGGTATTTTTCTACTACAATATAATATAATATTTACAAAACGACAATTTCATATATTTATTTTGAATTTGGATAATCTTTTTTCTATTCGAAATAAACATTTAACATAGTCTAGTTGATTAAGACATTAATATAAACTCAATTATGTGTTGGTAAGAATGTTTGATTAATCCACCTCACCTAAATGGTGTGAAGGTTATCTTATTTATAATCAAATAAATTACAAGAATAAAAAATAATAATAAATAGAAAGATACGTAATAAGACAAATATTAGATATTTGACTTATAATAAAATATCAAATATAATATATATGGTAAACTATACTTTATTACTAAATATCCTTAACAGTTTGGATACTCAAATTGTGGATAAAATATTATTTTACGATAATAACCCGTGTTTTTTCTACTTAAGCAATACTCGGATTAAAGAATAAAGATTTTATTTATTCAAAGTATTATTGGTTTAATGTTTGATATTTTAACAAATTTGAATATAGACCAAAAATAAATAAATAAATATTTATATTTATATTTATATTTATTGTAGGTTCAAAATACCTTATTTTAAGATATATATATATATAAAATAAGAAAATTCCAATTTAGAATTGATGAAATATTTAATGATGCAAGAATTTAAAAGAACATGAAGATAACAAGACAATGTTTGTAATAGCAGCAGAGCGCAGCGTGGCTGCTTTCATGTACTTTCCCTTTCATGACAGCCAAATGAGCGCACATTCAGACAAGAAAATGGCACAGAGATTAACCATCAAAGCTCAGTCCTCTTGTCTTTTTCTCTCATTTCCCTTTCCCAATCCCTCCATCCACTCTACCCTTTTAACCATTCCACTGTTTCTTTTTGGTTCTAGAAAAAAACAGAGCAGCTGACTTGGATCCTCTTGGAAATCGGGCAGCTGGGTTCTTATTATAAACGCAAATCTTTGGATACAGGACGGAAGGTTAGTGTTCTTCACTTGGTTGTGCTGTTGTTGTTCTAAATAATGATTTGGAATTTAAAACAGTGTTTTAGATTCACGATCACATGATGCCAAATCCAAATGGTAATTTGTTGATCGAGTGAAGCCAAGAGAAATCCGGGAAATGTTGGCTGTTTTTCTTCTCCCCTAATCCCTACCCATCATGGAAGCGAAGGTCAACAGTTTGTCTGTAGCAGGAAGGAAATTTGTGAGGGCCCAATTAAGAACTTTTGGATTTTGGCTGGAATTGTCACGGGAAATTGTTCCCGGCCTCCAATTTTCTGCAACCGTGATAGATTTTTATCTCCCTGGTTTCTTGTTTCAGTTCATTTTGTGTTCTTCATGAGACCGCCATGTCCATAAGCTGCATGGCTACTGCTTTCTCCTCTTCTCCCACTCAATGCCCACCACCTGTTTGTGAAAATGCGCGACTGGACCTGAACTCCATAAGGGGTCTTGTTGTCTCTATCAATCAGTATATTCATGAATTCTTGAGCAATGCTGAGGCTAGAACTTCTGTCAAATTGAGATGCATATCCAAGCTAAGAAACCATAAACATGAGTATTTTGAATTCTTGGAACAATCCATCATTTCAAATCTTTACTGGGGTGTTGAGAACATTGAAGATACAGTTCAAACGAGCAGTTCTGAAGTGAGGGCCACTAAGCTTCAAACTGCTGAACAAATGCTTCAGGTCCCAGCACTGCTTGACGAGCATGGTGAGACGTCAGGAATGGATAATCGTTATTTAGTTTGCTGCTCTTACTTCTATCTTTCCCTGGTCAAGAACCTTCAAGGGGACGAGTGGCAGGTTGCTCTGCACTTCCTTCAATCCCTGCTGGTTTCTCCAAGATTGGTTCTCACCGAGTTTGCTCAAGAATTTTGCTACAGCCTTCTTCTTTCTTTTGCTACATGTTCGAGGCAAGAAAATTGTACCAGTATGAGGTCCAATTCTTGTGTAGAATTTGGCGAGGGTGATTTTGGTGAATCAACTGTAAGACAGGTAGCTAGAAAATACAAGGACTGGCTAATGTATTATCAGGTTATGTCTTACGGAGAGACTCACCAGTGGCAGCAGCAGGGAAGCAGCAGTATGTTTTCTTCTGAAGATGGATCACATTCCTTGTAAGTCTGGGGTAAATTTCTAAGGAATATAAATCTATCCTGCTCGGTATATGTAGATTTGAATGTTTACTGAATTTTGCACAGTGCTCGTGTTACTACGACGATACTCGTTTATGCAACATCTTACCAACTGATTCGATGCTAACTACACAATCATTTTGAGAAATGCTTACTGTATGTACGATCTTTATATCGCTCATGGTCAGATGGCCTGATCGTTTGGAATAATAATTGGTGTCTTATTCACTAGATCATGCTCGGATTGACTTGCTTTTGAAATTCATACTCGTAATCTCCTGAAGTAGAAAATGGATGAGATTAGATGATAATAGCCAGAATAAGAACATGCATTGGTTTGTGTTGAAACTTTCAGTGGGAAATTTATATGCAAGGGAGAAAATCGTACCATATCCGAGACAGATAGAGGAGAGGTCTCAGTTCCATTATAGGAATGGCTGCAAGAAAATTTAAGTCTGAAGAACTTCGTGATGCAATCTTTTCTCATTTTGGCTTTTTTTGAACGTTGCTTCATATTGTTGTCTATCATTGCTTGCATCAGTACTAGCAAAAGTTGCATTACTAAGTGTACAAATTTCATAGCCTCTGGAGCTAATACACGTTCCTTGCTCTAAATAGGCACGGCTCATTTTCCAGGATTGAAGATTCAAAGGCAATTGATTGCGGGCTTGCCAAGCCAACTGTTTCCCATGTAAGTATTGAAGGTTGCTCAGGAAGACTCCATCTCTAGTTTCATTCTATTAGTTGGGTTCTATGATTAATACTTCCTCTTTCTCTGTCTCTTGCCTTTTATGTTTGGAAACTGAATCCAGTATGACATTATATCGCCACTTGATCATATTGATGCATTTCAAGATAAAATAAACACGTCGCAAGATGTTCCACGATGTGAAGAATTGGGGAATTCCGAAAAAAATTTGGGTCTCATCCCAGAACCTCAATTAAATGATGGGGGATTCTGGAGAGATTCAAGTACCAAATTCATTGGAGACATGTTGAAGGATTCCCATCTTGGTTCACCAACTTCATTATTCTCATCAATGAACGATTCCGAAAGTGACAGTGATTTTGAGGTTTGTCCATACTCCTGCCCCCATTCTATTGCTTTCTTATTGTTCAAACCCAATTTGTTATTGTCTTCCATGATGTCCGTATGTTACTAATTTTTCTATTTGCCAGGCAGGTATGAACTACACTAATCACTCTAAGAGAAGCGCACAAGAAGACGTGCCGGAAAACTTTTATCAGTTCGGTCTAGAATGCTTATGCTTATTATACTTGACTTTCCTTTTATATCAATCTCGGCCATATAACTGAATCTTTTATGCGTTGACTTTACAGGAAGCTGCGGTATGCTCGCTCCAAATCCGACACAGAGCAGAGTTTGATATCATTGACCAGTGCTTCTCTAAGTAGGGTGCAGGAACATTACATTGAAGCAAACATGATGAAATCCATTTCAAACAAATTCAATGATTACAAGTTATGTAGCGAAGAACAAAAAGACTTGGAACCTCAGATCCTCCAAAATTGTCTTGAAGATAGTGAACCAAAAGAATTGTTTGTAAACCCATGCAAATTACAGACTTTTGATAGTGCTTTACCTTTAGCGCTCGGTCAGGGTTCGACCTGTCAGATTAGTAAGCAGAATAGTGCTAAAGGGCAATTATATCACGCAAATAGCAGAAAAGATTCAAAGAGTGAAATATTGGGACTTGTAGAGAAAGCGATTTCAAGATTATGTTTCTCAGAAGGATTAGGAAACTACGATGACGAGTATGCCGTGGAAGTTTCAACGGTTTACAAAATGTTGAATAACAAAACGGGAGTACAATACACCATGTTAAAGGATTTGATAATGGATCAATTGGTGACAGGCATTTCAACTTCTAAAGAGGAAAAGGTTATAAGGGCATCAGTTTCTCTGCTCACAACTATAATTTCCGAGAACAATTCGGTTATAGAAGATATCAAGAAGAAGGGTTTGCAGTTATGTGATTTGGCTACTGCTCTAAAACAGAATGTTCATGAGGCTGCAATCCTTATCTACCTCATCAGTCCATCCCCAAGGGAAATCAAGTCCTTAGAGCTTCTACCTGTTCTGGTGGAGATCATAAGCACCTCAAGATGTTATAATACTTGGTCACCGCCACTTATGTTGACTCCTCCTGCAGCATCAATGATGATCATTGAAGTAATGGTAACTGCGTTTGACGAGGACACAAATAAGATGCATTTGGTAGAAATCAGCTCACCAAGTGTTCTATGTGGGCTTCTAGAAGTTGCAAGAACCAACAATGTGGAAGGATTGGTGTCTCTAGGCAGTATTCTTGTAAAATGTATGCAACTTGATGGAGAGTGCAGAAGCTATATATCAAAATTCATCTCAGTGGCTCCATTTCTCTGTCTCTTACAAAGTGATAAGAAGGAAGCAGTGCATATCACACTTCAAGTATTCAATGAAATCCTTCGTGTTCCTAGGTATGAACAAATGCACCGATTGCGTTCTTTCACGTTCTACTACAACTGTTTAGAACTACCTCAAATCGTCAATGAAGAAAATATATACTTGTTTTGTATGCAAGTAAACGACCCATTGTGTGCTTCAAATCATTAGTTGATTCATGATATAGTTTAGGGTCATTGGACTTATGAAGTGAACAAGGATAAATCTCACAGTGTCCCTTTTCAAAAAATAATAATAATAAAAAAAATCTCACAATGACCAGTTTAGACTTGCATGAGTTCCTTTTATTTTCGACGCAACCTTATATCGAAATTAAGTTGTTTACCGGAAACAGTTTTTTTAATACAACTCTGACTCTCTTGTTTAGGTCTTCTGCCATTAGCTTGTTGCAAAGGATTAAGAATGAAGGGGGAAATGACATCATTCACATACTAATGCTTTGTGTCGATCATTTGCAAACTGAATATCAACTTTTGGCTGCAAATTTATTGATTCAATTACTTGTACTGGTAAGTGTTCAATTTGATTGTGTGGTTTGTCCAATTTAGTTTCAGTTGACAACCCTAGAATGTATATCTACAGGACAACGGTTCCACAACGAGCTTCTTGAAAGAAGAGGCTGTACATGTTCTTCTCAGGTCAGTGGCATGCGAAGAAACCTCTGCTATGCAGCTGTTGTCTGCATCGATTTTGTCAACTCTTGGTGGAACGTTTGCTTGGACAGGAGAACCATATACAGTTGCCTGGTTGCTTAAAAAAGTTGGTTTGAGTTCTGATCATCAGAACATGATCAAATCGTTCAATTGGCTAGACCAAAGCTTGCAGGTGAGCGTCAAGAATAGTATAACTGGTTGCATTATACTGTTCGACCTTACAACATTAAATGAACTTGTAGGATGCTGGCATGGACTCATGGTGCAGTCTGATGGCCAGAAACATCATCTGTATCGGGGAACCCGTCTTTCATGCTTTAGAAAAGGGTTTAAAGAGCAACATAAAGAAGGTTTCTAGGGACTGTTTGACAACAATTGCATGGCTTGGATGTGAGATTGCAAAGAGTCCAAGTAGCATTAGATGTTCTGCTTGTGAGATCTTACTCAGTAGAATTGAGCTGTTCTTGCATCCCGGAGTAGAACTCGAAGAAAGGCTTCTGGCATGTCTCTGCATCTTCAACTATACGTCTGGAAAAGGTAATACATTTTCTAAGATGCATGTTCAATTGCCGCAGTGATAGAGGGTACAGTCCCTCCCTGTTACAGAATTTCTAAATAACATGCTCAATGGAAAGTCTTGCAATGATTTGAAATGTCCTCGAGCGACTACCACTGATTCTCGATGAATATTTATGTATAGGGATGCAAAATCTTACTAATTTCTCTGAAGGAGTTCGTGAGTCACTAAGACGTCTTTCACATATAACTTGGATGGCAGAAGAGTTGCATCAAGTAGCAGATTATCTTATGCCCAATAATTCAGTAAGTGAAAGAGCTTCATCATCGAAAAACGATTCAATGAATTACTGAAAGCTATTTAAATATATTTTTTGTAATTACAATCATTGACAGATTTCATTGTTTGCCTTTCTAACATCCTTCAAATTGTAAGAGCAGCGAATTTCGTGCGTGCACACGCAAGTTCTAGAGCTGGGTTTCAACAGCAGTGGAGCTGTATGTGCCCTCATCTTTTACAAAGGTCTTCTTTTCGGTGGATACTCAGATGGTTCAATTAAGGTGAAGAAAATAAGAGTGGGTTTCAATAAACACGTTTGAGATGTTAACAAATAGTTGTCATTTCAGTAAAAGCTGCAAATGGCTAAGTTGAAATATTTTGCAATGGGGAAAGAAATATTTTTCTGCCACAAAATTGAAATCATGACCTGTGTGCATAACTACAGGTGTGGAACATCAAGGGACAATCGGCATCACTTCTATGGGACATAAAGAAACATAGAAAAGCAGTAACATGTTTTTCGCATTTTGAATCTGGGGAGAGTCTTCTAAGCGGATCTTCCGATAAAACTATTCGAGTACGTCGCTGATGCTGCCATGATAACATTTAGCTTAATGTGGAAGGGCAGTAGTAGAAGGTTGAATAAGCTGTTTCTTGTTTATACAGGTTTGGAAAATGATCCAGGGAAGATTGGAGTGCATCGAAGTCATAGAGTCCAAGGAACAAATCCAACATGTAGGGGCATATGGACAAATAATCTTTGCAATTACACATGGCCATGGCTTGAAGGTGATGATAATATTATCACTTAGATTTCAGCAAACTAAATACTGGAGAACCTCATGCTGATTTTGGAATTTTTCATTTGAACTATACATACTATTATGTTCTAGATGATTGATGCATCAAGAACAACAAAAGTTCTTTTCAAGAGTAAGAATTTGAAGTGCATGAAGGTGGTTCAAGCAAGAGTTTACGCAGGCTGCACCGATTCGAGCATACAGGTTAGTTTGTTCCCCCCTTTTGTCCCAGAAAAACTCCATAAATAATAAACATCCACTAAAGAAAAACTGTTGTAATTAGGAGTTTTCTGTGACCAACAAATGGGAACAAGAGATCAAGTCACCTTCTAAAAGTTGGATGATGATGCACCACAAGGCTATCAACTCACTTGCTGTGTACAAGGACTGGCTCTTTTGTGCTAGTTCGATAGTTCAAGGCTCATTATTTCAGGTAGAAACAATTACCGTAGCCAAAACAATTATTGTTAGAAATCACGAACCTTCACAATGATATGATATTGTCCACTTTGAGTATAAGCTCTCATGACTTTGCTCTTTTGGGGTTTTTGATTTCTCCAAAAGGCCTCATACCAATGAATATGTTTTTCTTACTTGTGAACCCGTGATCAACCCCTTAATTATCTAATGTGGGACTCCTCCCCTAACAATCCTCAATAATTATACCATAAACATCCTCTAATTGTTGGAATAAATGCAGAACTGGAGAAGACACGAAAAGCCCAAAATGAATATTGTAACTAGTAAAGGAGACGTCGTGCAAGCAATAAGTGTCGTTGAAGATTTTGTGTACATAATCTGTAAATCTTCACTAAGCAGCATTCAGGTAATTGTCGATGCGTATTTTATCAAGCAGTAATGTGTAATCTCTATGTTATGATCATGGTTGTCATCAATTCATTCTTGAAAAAGTAGATATGGTTGAGAAAGGCACAGCTCAAAGTGGGGAGAGTTTCAGCTAGTAGCAGGATAACATGTCTGCTTACAGCCAATGACATGGTTCTCTGTGGCACAGAGACGGGCAAAATTAAGGTAATTGATGCCCCTTTGAATATCATTACTGTTATTAACTAAAATAACTAATTCAAACTTTTGAATTTTCTTTATTTCCAACCCGAGTGTAAGAAGTTTCGTAAACAAGTCAATAGCGTGTTTGTAACGGCCCAAGCCCACCGCTAGCAAATATTGTCCTCTTTGGACTTTCCCTTCCGGGTTTCCCCTCAAAGTTTTTAAAACGCGTCTGCTAGGGAAAAGTTTCCACGCCCTTACAAAGAATACTTCGTTCTCCTCTCCAACCGATGTAGGATCTCACAGAGTCATTCTCTTTTTCATTTCACTCACTCGTATCTCTTCTACGCTATTGATTTTCGATTCCATGATTATAAGTTCATTCCACACCGGGTCAGACCGGAATATGGCTAGGTTATATATATTCTAATTATGAGAAAGGGTCATCCGAGCGTATTTAAATAGATACTATGTTTACACATGGATCCCTACATCCTTACATTCCATTTAGGATTAGAAACAAGCGTATGGGCCTGTTTTTTACATATCTCTTGGGCTTCGTCCTTTTTCCCTTTTCATTCACACTTGAATCTCTTTTTTCAGAAGTGT